GGAGTTTTGGGATCCATTTGGGATTTGGGAGCTGAAGGAGGAGCCCCTCTGGATCCGTGGTTTGGGATTTTGGGGATTTGCTGTTGAAAATCCAGGAGATTTTGGGTCCAAATCCACAAAATTTGGGATATTTGAATCCCCAAATCAACAAAATCTGGGATACTTCCAATTCCCAAACCCAAATCCCCCCTTTCCCTCCCCCCAAATTCCCCTTTCTTTCCCTCAAAATATCCCAAATTTCTCTTTTTCCCCTAAAAAAAATCCCCAACTGCCTTCAAAAATCCCCAGAATTCCCTTTTCTCCCAAAAAAATCCTCCATTCCCCCCAAAATCCCCAAATTTCCCCAATTTCCCCCAAATTTCCATAATTTCCCTTCAAAACCCCCCAATTTCCCCCAAAAAATCCCTGAAACCCCCCAATTTCCCCAAGATTTCCACAATTTCCCCTCAAAATTCCTCCCCAAAAATCCCCAAAATTCTCTAATTTCTCCCCCCCAGAATTCCCCAATCCACCCAAAATCCACCAATTCCCCCCTAAAAATCCTCCAAATCCCCCAATATCTCCCCAATTTTCCCTTTTTCCCCTAAATTTCCCCCAAATTTCTCCAGTTTCTCCCCAAATCTCCCCAATTTCCCCCCAAATCTCCCCAAATGTCCCCTCGAAATTTGCCAATTTCCCCAAATTTCCCTTTTTGCCCCCATATTCCCCCAAATTTCCCTTTTTGCCCCCATATTCCCCCAAATTTCCCTAATTCCCCCCAGATTTCCCAATTTTCCCTTTCTCCACCCAAATTCCCCCGATTTTCCCCAATTTTCCCCAAATTTCTCCAATTTTTTTCCCAAAATTTCCCCTGAAATTCCCAAATTTTCTCAAATTACCCTTTCTCCACCCAAATTCCCCCCAAATTTCCCGTTTCCCCCCAATTTTTTCCGATTTCTCCCCAAATGTCCCCTCGAAATATCCCAATTTTCCCAAATTTCCCTTTTTCCACCCAAATTTCCCCCCCAGATTTCCGATATTTCCCCAAATTTCCCTTTTCCCCCCCCAAATTTTCCCCCTGAATTTCCCGAATTTTCCCAAAATTTCCCCTGAAATTCCCAAAATTTCCCCCCAGATTTCTCAAATTTTCCTTTTTCCACCCAAATTTCCCCAATTTCCCCCAAATTTCTCCATTTTTTTCCCAAAATTTCCCCTGAAATTCCCCAAATTTTCCCAAATTTCCCTTTTTCCACTCAAATCTCCCCAAATATCCACCCCAGATTTCCCAAATTTCCCCAAATTTCCCTTTTTCCACTCAAATCTCCCC